ATGATATTTTTATTGGTTGTTGGGTATACTAGACCTGCTACCTTTTTTTTGCATTGGATAGATTTTTAGATTTTTTAGTTGGATTTGTCCATGTCATTATGGACTTAAGTCTATTTATTTGCCACATATGCAAAAAGAGACCCAAAGTATTGTAGATGCTCTAAGTCCAAGCTATACACGAGTGCACAATCAATCTATTAATGAAAGATCTTTAAGGAGTAGTGAGACGCTCCCCGAAGAGTTTTTATCTCCTCTTTGTGCTTCCGCTATTTCACTTATTCTGGTGTTGCAACATAGATTGAAAAACATATAACTATTTTGTGTTCTAACATAGTTGAGCGTACTCTACGCGGTATACCTACATTTCACCATTGATTTCAATTCGTTTATCAATATTAACGAGTACAATTATAGAATATTACAAAGAGATTCTTATTTTCAAGGCGGACTCGACCTTGTGTCGGCTTGTTAACTCAACTAGCTGAACCGGGCTCGAGCCTTAACAAATTTAGTCGAATAGCTCGTTTCGTTTAACAACTCTAATATCAATAAAATTAATTTAACATTTTTTTATATTATTAGAAAGAACTTTATGGTGCTCGTCCCATTTTTACTACTTTTTTTTCCCAACGGCATAAGCATTCTCATAAATAAAAAAGCCAAAAGGCAATGTACACGGGCGAGCCCGAATTCGGGGAAACTGGGAGGTTACAATATCAACCAATGCAACTTAATAGAGACACACCTAGCAACGCTAGAATAACAACCCGAAATACACAACAAAAAACACCAAAACACACCGACAAGAAAAACAGAAACTACTCTCAACAGGAGAATATCCGAGTGTGCTCCCAACAGGAGAATAAAGGTACACTCGGGCCAACTGGAGCCAAACGACTCAAACCTAAAACACATCGACAACAACAAACACTAACAACACAAGAACTGAAAACAAACATTAACAGAGAACTGAAAACAAACATAACAAAACAACTACATACTACACTAGCCCTTCCCCAGCAATCCAAAGCAAATCCAACCATCAGATAACGATCGACACAAGAACGATATCGAGCCCATGAACCGCTACCGAAATTGCACAAAAGCCTATACAGTAGGTGATCCCGAGACCCAAAAATAATCCTCGAATCGAC